TTATAATCGATACCTTGACTCTGCCCAGAACTAACATGTGATCTGCTTTGAGTCGTATCTGCATTCTCATCCTCAACTGCCATCTGAAATACAACAGTCAACTCTTGGACTTGAAATTGAAACAATTACTGAAACTCAAAACCTTTTCAACAAAACTCTTGTGAATCTATGAACCAGTAGCTGATTCTTTGATTCTATGGATTTTCCAGCAACAAACGTCTGTGAATCTTATGAATCAACAAGATTCTTTGATTATATGGATTCTCCAGCTTCATCAATGTTTACTGAGAAGCAGTGGCTCTGATACCATATTCGTTAATGAAGGAAACACTTCATAAGAAGAAGAAGAAGACGAAACGCAGCTAAGAAGAAGAAGGAGAAGAAAGTATTGTATATTTTTCTGAAAATTGTGTATGAACATGTACAAAGAATGAGCTTATTTATATAACTCTTTTTCACTAACTAACTAATAACAAACTTATCTGACTAACAAAGGGATAGGTTTGTTATAACTACCATTATGTAAAAGACTGTTTTACCCTTTTATTATTTCTAAATTGCTTAGCCTTTCTATATTACAACAATATAAACCAAAAATTTAAAATGAGACTAAGTGTTGCTCAAGGGATTTGAAATCGAATTCCCTTGCCCAATTCCGTATTGATACATAAGTCTTACGTGAATAAATATTTAATAAATGCTGCCTATAGGAATCGAACTCGAGACTGTGACATACTTACAAGATGCATAAGTCTTGTACCACATAATCTTGGGTAAGTATGAGTCACTTAGACGAATTATGAATGAAGCCTCATGGCTTGTACGTATGGATTCATAAGTCCAACGTACGTTTAAAAGTAAGTGAACCTAAGATGTATGTGGTAAATTGATGTGACTCCAGGGGGGTTAAGTAAGAATGTAAAACACACTAAAAGGCCAAGTGCATTGGCATATGACGAAATGAACATTCACGTAATAATGTGAGTAATTATGTTATACTATGATGCTAATGAAAATAGTGACAACATGACTATAGGCTAGTGCAAGTTAGACAAGATGCATCTATGCCTAAAAATCAATGTCACTAAATGAAATTTCTAAGAGATTATATTTATGCTAAACGATGAATAAACAAAGAAAGAGTGGCTACATGAGGATAGGATAGTACAAGTGAGACAAGTTATATCTACGCCTAGAATCAATGTCCCTCAATGTAAATTCTAAGAGAGAATATGTATGTTATACGATAAACAAATAATGAAAGGTGAGTAAAGATGAAATGAAAAGATGTTAAGAAAGAACATGGTGACACCACAATATGAGGCTAGTGCAAGTGAGACAAGTTGTACCTACGCCAATATAAGGTCACCAAAAGTACTCACCTAAGAGAGTATTGAATATTAAGAGACAAGTCTCAATCACACTCTATATGTAAGTGTAAGGACAATTCACACTTAATGCAAAAGAAGAGATGATAAATCATCTAATGAGTTATGACTAACTCATGCTAGAAGCAAGCTTCGATGATGTATGAGTTGAATGTAAATAGGAACTTTAGACGGAGCACCGATAGGCTAGCTATGAGTGTTGATGCCTTCTTTCGGGAAGGACGGAGGTTCACGTAATTCTCATGAGATGAGACTGTCTACCAAGGTGGGTATGAGTCTCCCTAAATCTTTAAGTCTTTGAACTATGCTGCCAACAAAGGAACTAGCTAGTGGTTTTTCACCTAAGCGAGCTAGGGATGTTTTGGTTTCACCTTGGCCAGTGACTCCACCTCTTTTCGGTGTGGGGAAGACACCGGATTTCATGATGCTCACATGATCTATGTCGGTTAAAGTTGAAGTTCCTCAAAGTATGAAAGAAAATGAAATGAATTATACCAAAGGTGTTTAGATAGGATAATCAAGAGGTGAATTAGACTCAAGTAATGACACTAGGCCATTCTTGGTCATTGCACAGTGAACCCGATGAGAGTCTTAAACAATATCCTAGGTATAGCTAGTATTCACACCAGCCTACGAACGAATAAAAGTGAAGTACGTATGAATAAATGAAGCAGACTCTGTGTTTGCTAAAGAAGGCTCCCTAGTTGAAGTCCCATATGTTGAGCCCTCATTTTGGGAAGTCCTAATGTTAAGTCCGTGATTTCAAGGTCTCACGGCATATGAACGAATGATATGTAATATATGTACGTGCTATATGAAATATGTTATGTATTATGTGTGATATGAAAAGAATGATGATGCATATTACTCTCATAGCATGACTTTCCTAATCTAATTTGGCAAGTCCAACTGACTTGGTTTTCCATAACTCATATCGTTAGAAGAGAGATCTTCTTAATCATGTATGTCCTTGGTGTGTACTTGCATACACCCATGCTTAGTACAAGTGTGTACTAATCTCATATATTATACTATTTTAGGTGCAGGTTCAGGAGGGTGTTGAAGACATTCATTACAGCTATTCGGACATCAGAGCTTTATATCTCGACGTGGTACGTCCCCATGCATTCGAGGACGCTTGCTGCTATGTTTCTAGTTTAGTAATAGGTTTAGGCTAGTGGAGCATGTTCCACTAGTATATCTTTCCTATTTTGTTCACACTTATGTAATGGTGCAATTTTGGCAATTTACTTATGCTATAAGACTATTTATTTCAAGATTGAATGATTCTTTATTAGATGGTTGATACACATGAGCAATGAACTTTATACGTGTATGCATGTTATAACTCTGAAGTCTATGTACACTTTAAACAAAATAAAAAGTTTCAAATTTTCCGCTAAAATTAACCTAACGAATGTAATGACGACGTAAGCAGGCTTGTTTGCGACATCTGAGAGGTCAACGACACCGGTTTCGGCTAAGATCTAGACCCCAGTCATGATAGATAATATATAAATTTCCAACATTTAATTAGGTTGGGTCAATATTAATTTTACATTCAATTTCCACAACCATAGTTTTCAATGATTTGTTTGAGAAGCAAAAGTTTTAGTTGTTTTTACCTTCTATTAAGATTTGTCTTAACAATGTGAAAAAATTTATGGTTAAGTGGAGAAATCTTAATTACATCTCTCGTTAGTGATGAAGTCATCCTTGTTCAAAGTGATATCAAATTGACGCCCTTCGTTAAAAATTACTATGTACATAGTAGGATTTAAAAAAATTATGTATAGACAAATATGAAAGTCTTTATAAAAAAAATTTAGAAAAATATTTGGATGCTTCGAGATATCAGATCCATGGGTTAATATACAAAAAAGATCAAGAAAATTACGTAATTCTTAAAAGTTGACAAGTAAATGTGAAAGTATGCTGAAAAAATGGTGGTACTACGTAATGCTTTTCCAATTCATTACAGAGGTCATTATAAAATTAAAAAAATTTAGGTGCTCCGAGGCTCCATATTCATCGGCTAATACACAAAAAAATCAAGAACTTCACGTAATTTCTAAAAATTGGCTAGTAAATGCAAAATATGCCTGAAAACAGTAGGATTGCACGTAATACTTCCTCAACTCATTATGGAAATATTTATAAAGTTTTCTTTAGAAAAATATTAGGTGCTCTGAGACCCCAGATTCATGGACTTATATACACAAAAAACACAAGAAAGTCGCGCAATTCCTAAAAGTTGGCTCGTAAGTGCAAAAATATATATGTCTGAAAAAGCAGTCAGACAGTATGTAATTATTCCCCAGCTCATTTCAAAGGTCCTCACAAAGTTTTTTCAGAAAATAATATTCGGTGCTTCGAGGCGCCAAATTCATGGGTTGATGCACACAAGTCACAAAATCCAGGAAAGTCATGTAATTCCTAAAAGTTGGCTCTTAAATGTGAAAATAAGATTAAAATAGTGGGAACCTCCGTAAGCTTCTCCAACTCATTACACATGTCCTCATAAATACTCCGAGGCGCCAGTAACATGGGCTACTATACACGAAAAATTATGAAAGTCGTGTAATTATTAAAGGTTGACTCTAAATGCAAAAATATGCCTAAAAATGGTGGAATCGTACGTAATGTTTTCCTATCTCAATACGGAGGTCCTTATAAAAAAAATTCAGAAAAAAATATTAGGTGCTCTGAGGCGCCAAATTCATGGGTTAATGCACACGAAAAACCAAGAAAATCGTGTAATTCCTAAAAGTTGGCTCTTAAATGTGAAAATACGTCTTAAAAATGGTGGGGCTGTACGTAATGTTTCCTCAATTCATTACACAGGTTCTCATAAAGTTTTTTTCAAAACAAAATTTGGATGTGCAGAGGTGCCAAATCCATGGGCACTATGCACAAAAAAAAAAGAAAAACGCGTAATTCCTAAAAGGTTTTTTGTAAATGTGAAAATAAGCCTGGAGAAAAAAAAGTTGGACGGTATATAATGCTTCCTGAACTCATTATGAAGGTCCCGTAAAGTTTTCTCAGAAGAAAAAAAAATTAGGTGCTCCGAGGTGTCAGATTCACACACATGAAAAATTAAAAAAAAATTGCGTAATTCTTAAAAATTGTCTCGTTAATGTCAAAATATGTCTGAAAAAATGATGAACTGTACATAATACTTTCTCAACTCATTGCGGAGGTCCTTTGAAAATTATCTTTAGATGCTTTGGCTTATTTGTATGTTTTCATATTAAATCATAGATCTGACACATTGAGTAGCATAACTTTACAAGATATTTCAATAATTGATATTTGACATAATACATAAATATGTTCTTTAACTTGACTTTAAATTACATTTATACCCTTCAACTTTGGATGTGCATAAGTAAACATTTAAACTTGTATAAAGTTGAACAAATAGATACACATGTCCTACATGTCATTTTTCGTCCTATGTGGTGTCATACGTGGATTGTTCCGTGTAGGACTCATGTGTCTATTTGTTGAAGTTTATACAAGTCTAATGCCTACTTGTGCGTACCATTTGAAGGGCATAAATATAAAATGATGTTAAGTTAAAAGACACATTTATGTATTATGTCCACTTCGTCTCATTTCATGTGAAGGTGTTACTGTTCAAAAAGTTTGAGGTTTTTAATTCTTAGTGTAAGTTTATTAATATTCTTAAAAATATTTTGAAATTCATAATTATAAATTTGCTTTTGTCTTTGGTGATCCATGAATAATCAACTATTTCCGCTATACCAACTGCCCTTTCAAACCACAAACTGTGCCAACTAACAAAGTACTACTAACTAACAACAAAAAGAGGAAATTTTGGAACCAAAAAAGAAAAAAGTTACCTACAAAAAAAATTTAATGAAAATCCCAAATTAATGAAAGAAAAAGGAAATTTTTTAAAGAAATTTGAAGATTTGTAATGTCAATGCACTGAAAATAAAAAAAATCTCTTCATTAGGTGCATTTTTTGTTTTTTAATTTGTTAGAAATGTGTATTCCTGTTTTAAGTTTTTTTTTTTTTGGTTTATTGTTGTTAATGGAACTTCTCTTTGTTTTTTTTTTTTTTTTTTTTTTTGCAGAGAAAGAACAATTAGTGGATGATCAATCAAATTTTCAAGGGGCAAAGGCCCATCTTGAAGTGAGTTTCTTTCTTACTTACTCTCAATAGATTAATATTGAACCATTAGATCCGTATCGTGTTTTCAGAATCACTACAAAAGGAATCGTTACATTTCGAGTTCGTATGAGAGAGATATGGTTTTTTTAGTGTGTATTGTCGTATAATGGAAGCCGCAAGTTTAGGTAAAAAGAACAACTAGTGTTAGAGATTCTTGAACTTTTACATGAAGGGAATGAGTGTTTTGATGGAATCGAATTCAGAATCCAAGTAGATTAGATTAAAACAAGTATGAGTTCAAATGAATGCGTTATGGAATGGAATCCGAGATTAAGTAGATTAAGTTAATGTAAGTATGAGTACAACCTTTTTCTCGTTGATTTAGGATCAATAGCAGTTCGACCTGAGGAAAGTGTGGTCAGATTCAGAATCCCCAATGTCTTGCCTTCTAATGCACCAACTTATGGCATCACTACCTTGTGAGATGGTTGAGATCTCTCTTACCCTTTACCCAGGGTCGGAGCTACCTTGTATGAAGGGGGTTCAACAGAAAATTATATTATTATACATGATTAAAATAAGTTTATATGCATATGATGTCGAACCTCCTTTGGCTATCTATTTCTACACATTTTGAACCCCCTTATTGAAAATCGTTGCTTCGCTCTACCTTTACTGGAAGCCTCGGATTTGAACCGTTATGCATGGAGGACCCTCTTGATGGGGAGCACTTCACGTTAATTGAGCATATATGGTGCCACTAATCTACGGATTAGTAGTCTAATGGGTTTTGAATACAGGATGCCTAAAGTAGCATGAAGGAAATATGGTATCAGATGCGGATTTAGGATTTGAAGTGTAGGAGTTCTGAAGTTCATTGTATGTATATATTCAGTGTATTTCTATTTAGATCAAAGTTACTAGGTTTTGTCAAACCCGCAATAATTCCCATGCTAGCTTCGTCTAACATGTCCTTAATGATTATGCAAGAAGGAAAGAAATGCACTTAAGATAATGAGAAGCAAATACATCGTTGATGGTTAGAATTGAGTGTATGAAGAATCAATGCTTTTTTTCCTTATCAGTTAATTTACTTCGTGTTTTTCCTTACCCTTTAATGGCATTACTATCTAGACTTGATTCAACATATTGTATATATACATACAATTTAAAATTGACCTATTTAGACTATGTAACTTTTCGGAGAAAGTGTATCAATTGACTCCACTTAGACAAGGGTAGCTCCGCACCTGCTTACTCTCATAAAGAATAATATCAAATCCTATCAGTTTTTTCCCTGTATCCTCGGCCACTCATTCACTATATCAAATTTGCATCCTTTGGAGATTAATCGAGTTGCTTTGTGTTCGTGTCTATTAACTTAACTCTTTACATGATCAAAAACTTTATTGTTTTGTATATGTATGATTGTCTCGGAGTGAACGGAAATATCTTTAATAGAACATGATTTGTCCTTCTTCATCACATCTAACGAAGTGACCTTTCAGATGGGATCATCAGATGAAAGAGCAGTACTTCAACTCGAGGATGAGAATCTTGTCAGATTAGAGCATTTTGATAGAAAGGCATCTTCTTTGGGCACCGTTCCTCAAAGATCTTCTTATGATCTCGAGGCAGATGATGACAGTCATAAAAGTATATTGTAAAGGATACGAAGGAACATTAAGATTTTTTTTTTCTCCAACAAGTTAAACATACTTGTACCTTGTGGCCCTTTAGCGATACTTGTGGATGAGTTAACTGATCAACATGTGAGTTGTTAAACTATTTTCGGACAAAAAAAAATTCTGCTCTTTATACGAGCTTGCACACTGACATTGTTTTCTTGTTGTTGAATATTTCAGGGATGGACATTCATACTTAGCTTGTTAGGCATCATTCCCCTTGCAGAGCGTTTAGGTTGGGCCAAGTAATTCTCTACAACCAATGTCTACAATGCGTTGCATGAGTAAATCATAACAATCAAAGAGGAATTGAGCGTATACCCGCAAAGACATGTCAGCATTTCTTAACATGTTCATACATCATGCATAGTTCTTAACCGTGAAATGGAAGTTCTTTTGAGCTATCAAGATCACACTTCTTTATCTCCGTCCTTGGATGTTTGCATAACATGGAAAGACAATAACTTCCTGATCTTCTTCTCCGTTTAATAATTTTTAACATTACACGTCGTATTTGGAGCATAAACATACTTGGTCTATTTATACTGTTGTACATTTTCAAAAATGTGACTAATACGTTTCGGTTTCATTCCTTGTATAGGCAGCTGGCTTTTTTTACTGGACCTACAGGTAGTCTTGTCTTTTAGTCGAGTATATGATATATAAAGGCATTAACTTTCTGTATGTTCTTTCTTTTGGTCTTTAAATCTTCTTTTTGGGATACCAATTTATATGTGTGACAAAATATGCTGATTTTCGTCTGCACCCTAATGGTAGAAGACATGTAAATGTTTATGTCATCTCATACTATATAGTATTTTCGTCACATATTAATCAAAGCGAGATAGAGAACGTAACTCTATCAGCCGGTTTCCCTTTTCCCTCTAATGGCACTCTATTTAGCCAATATCATCTCGATTAATCTGCAGTTAAAAACTTTTACAGTCGGAGGACTTCTAAATGCGACTTTTGGAAACGCTACAGAGTTGATAATATCAATGTATGCATTGAAAAGTGGAATGATTCGTGTAGTGCAGCAGTCACTATTAGGCTCAATTCTGTCCAATACTTTACTAGTGCTTGGATGTGCATTTTTTGGCGGTGGAATTGTTCATTCTAATAAGGAGCAGCTTTTCGACAAGGTATATTTTCATCACTCTCCATATATATGTGTTTTATGTATACCAGTAATAATTTTGTTTAAGCTGTATCATGGCCGAGGGATAACACTCGGATAATTAGATTTTTATTTTCAAATTTTCTTTGTTAGGGAACTGCAGGGATGAATTCGGGGTTGCTTTTAATGGCAGTTATGTGCTTGTTGTTCCCCGCTGTCCTCCACGTTACACACACTGAAGTGCATTTCGGGAAATCAGAGTTGGCACTTTCCAGATTTAGCAGCTGCATTATGCTTATAGCGTATGGCGCGTATCTACTTTTTCAGCTGACCAACCAAAAGAATCTTTACATGCCGATGGCCGAGGTTGTGGTTCTTCATTTTCCAGCACAGCTTTGTATAATTGGTGTTAACCTATACACGTAACTGTATGCTTATACAAAGTTCAACTTGGAATACTGAAGTGAAAGTTTAAAATGAAAAACTGGAAAAATGGTGATAGTTGCAGCCAAGATTTCTGAAGGTCGGAATATGCATTAGCCTAATTCTTTCTGAAGGTCGCATCTTGTCTTATAGTCGAAATACTCCAACTTGCTTATTCTGTTGCTTAGTGGACTATAATCTATCTAGTCTTCTGTTTTTAAGCTTCCAAAAGCTCGTAACATATTTGATCTTTATTCTCGTTCTTTCCACCTTGAAATCTTGCTATGTTTAGGCAAACAATGTTGTCTTGAGAATATCTAATGGGATTCGAGAAAACAAAAAATCCTATCTATGTTACTTTCCTCCTTTTTTAGTCCTTAAAGGCTGCAATGAGCTATACGTTTACGTCCAATCTTCCTTCGTGAATTTGTTCTTCTCTGAGTTTAGTACAATTTCAGGAAGAGGATCATATTGATGGAAGTGCAGATGATGAAGAAACTCCGGAGATATCGAAATGGTGGTCAATTTTATGGCTTTCTGTTATGACACTATGGATAGCTGTCCTATCAGAGTACCTTGTTAATACCGTAGAAGTAAGTGCATCCTTTTGCGGTTTTGCAACTTCGTGTTCTTTCTGCAGAAGCATCTAGCTTATCGAAAAATCGAGAATCTTCTTGTTCTTTCAAAATTTACTGTTATGAGATTTATATGATTGAATTTATCCAGGTTTTACTTTTTCTTAACTCGGCAAGAAAGGTCCTTTTATATAGAATATGTCAAAAAGGAAAAAAAGAAAACTATTTACAACTATGTTTCTCGGACTCTCCAAAAATGCTGCCTAACCTGTGTCGGATCCTCTGAATTTGCACTACTTTTGGAGGATCCAACACCCACACGTCGGCATTTTTGAAGAGTCCAGAGATATAGGTGTACAGAGATTCTACTCTACTTTTAGTCCTCTCTGCGTTAAACAACAAGAAAGTATTTGAACACACTAAGAAATGTGTTATTTTTTTTTTCTGTGTTCGTTGAGTCCCTCAAACAATAAACATATATGACAATGTTTTCAGGGAGCATCCGTTGCAATGAATATTCCTGTAGCATTTATTAGTGTGGTAGTGCTTCCCATTGTTGGAAACGCTGCGGAGCATGCCGGAGCTGTCATGTTTGCCTGCAAAGACAAGCTTGTACATTCTTCACCTTTCTTCCTTACAAAGCTAACGTATTGCAATCACCATCCCTCATTTACTTAGCATCTGTGCAGGATATATCTTTGGGAGTTGCAATAGGTTCATCAACGCAGATAGCCATGTTTGGGGTAGGTAATTAACATATCAGAGATTCTGTATCCTGAATTACGTCAATAAGGACTTAAATTATTACTTTTGTTCTATTTAATCGAGATATATGCATGTATCCCCCTAGCTGCTTTCATAGTTACATAAGACACTTCACTTGCTCATTTCTTATTTCAAGAAGGCACAATACATAAACATGCACTCAAACTTGGCCTCCATTGACAAGTAAAGCACTCTAATTTTCACAATGCACATCTAGACACCTCAACTTGTCTCCACTGTATCGGATGAACACTCCAACTTACAAATATGATCATCTAGACATCTCCAAAATTTATGTGCCATGTCAACGCAGGGTGTCCATGAAACACAGTGGGGTCTAGTTGAAGTGTTTAGTGTTCATTTGATACCAAGTTGAGGTGTCTCGATGTGCGCTCTCAAAGTAGTTTATGTACTATGCATTTCAAGAAATACAAAAAGTAACTTTTCGTTTCCATGTTTATCTCCTTTAGTATCCTGTCAAGTGCAAGTAAATGAAGAAAGGAAGATATTACCTGCGTTCTAATTTGACTGCTGTCTTTTTTCTGCTTAGTAGCTTATACCCGATTTCGACTGTTCTCTTGCTGCAGATCCCATTCTGTGTTGTAGTCGGATGGATAATAGGCTCACCGATGAATTTGGACTTCCAAATGTTTGAAACAGCTACACTTTTTATGACTGTCCTTGTAGTAGCTTTCATGCTGCAGGTATGCCATAATTTATCCTCTTAAAATAATGGTATATAAGAGTTCTTTCCAGATTTGAAGATTTTTTTCTCCTTTTCACCTCTTCATCCTTTTCATTTCCTTCTGTTTTGCTTCATCATGCAGTGTACATGAATGCTATTGGCGGAACATACATGTCATATTCTGCATCCTTGCAACTAAACAATATCTTTTTTTCTACAGGACGGAACGTCTAATTACTTTAAAGGGCTGATGCTCCTTTTCTGCTATCTGATAGTTGCAGCAAGCTTCTTTGTACATATAGATCCGGAGTCTATACGTAAGTTTCCTCCCTCGCTTCATACAATTATTATATGGTAGCTTGTGATATTTGTTGTATTTATGATTACTAGCATTGGTAATTATCTGTTTCTACTTACTAGCATTAAGTAATCAGATTAATTGAACATCTCTTCAGTTGTTCAATTAAATAAATACTCGACCATGTGAAATCTTGTTAGAACATATTTTTCGTCATGTGTGGCTTCCGTTTTTGACTTATGATGAGAAAAACCTTAAAAGTATCCATGTACATTATAAACCTCTTCCGCGACCTCTATATAACTATCCAAATATGTCGCCGCACAAGTGTCAGATCCTTCAAAAATGCACTACTTTTCGAGGATCGACATGCTCCTATTGACATCATTGAAGAGTCCGAGCAACATAGTTGGTTCTACAGCAAGTTGAACACTAACCAGGGATCATAGTAGAATTGGAAAGACAATACGTGTAATTGAGAGTTGATGCTTAAAGGAACTAATTTGATTCCCTCATAATGGAACCACTCAAAGGTTCTATGAATCTTTTCTTTTATGACAAGGAAAACCCGCAGCCGTTACCCTTTAGGTGCGAATAGGGTAAGGGGGCTCCTATTCAATAGCTCGTAAACCACATAGGAGAGGTAACCCAAACTAGGCAAGTCCGGTGCGACGAGCTTGACCCAGAAGGCAAACCCTTTGCTTTCGCTGGCAAGGGGTTTCGAACTTGAGACCTCCAACATGGAAGTCCCAAGCCCAAACCACTGGACCACCCCGAAGGGAATCTTAATCTGATCCTTCTATAGTTTCTCCTATTTTTTCTTTTTATGAATTTTGGTACATAGACCTGAATTCTATGTTGCTCAGATTCTCCAAAAATGTTGCCGCACCCATGTTGGATCCTCCAAATGTACACTATTTTTTTAGGATCCAACATGCACTCATCAGCATTTTTAAAGAGTCAGGCAACATAGCGTGAATTAAGTTTACATAATACTCATCGGACTGCCCTGACAGAAGCAGTTGTTGAAACTTGAAAACATAAGGAATGCAAAATCTGAAGGGATTTTCATTCATTAGAACTTGCACAGTTACAAACTTAGAAATTAACCCTTCCTTGAGAAACTGATCTAAAGAAACAAGAAAATAGAAAATAAACGGAATGCGGAAGGAAAAAAATAAACAGATGGTTATGAGTTCCAAGTAAATCTTCAATAAAAACATAATGTCGTCTTGTCCCTCAATATAATTCATTTTCTCTCAGTTCATCTCCTGAAAAGCAGAGAAATGAACAGAATATTAGTAGATGAAAAATGGTTTCAGAAAGTAAAACGTCGACTATGCAGTACCAGAATCACATGGGAGATGGCTCACCAAAATCCCTAGGCATCTTGCATTTATAACATTCTGCTCTACTGGCATAGTTGTGCATACCACATCCTAATCTGGCAGATATAAGAAGGAACTTATGTTAGCCAGCAGTAATTCTTGAGAACTTTTAATGCTTTTTTTCTTCTTCGTATTTTCGATCTCTTTATACAATGTAGGAATGGGATGAGCTCAGGAGCCACAGACGGAGTTATGATTTTGAGTTTATGTGTATTGAATTCTAAAAAAGATAGATTATTGGATTCTAGACAAATTATTTATACATATTAAGTGATACTTTAGACACAAACACGGGGTTTGGATCAAAGCTATTAGTTTCTGCAAAATCCAAGACGTGCTTGTAGCTCCGCCCCCTGAATTTATGAGGATTCATGTAGCCGACAAAAGTTATTTTACTCATAGATTGTTGTTAGAGTTGATGTGAACTAACCTGCTGCAAATCCAATCACCACTCTTCCAACCAGGACAAGCACTTGCATCATATCCATAACCTGTTGATGCTGTCATTCCCGTCCCGATGCCATAATAATTATTTTTTAAGGCACCACATCTATAACAGCTTGTTCTGCTTGCGTAGTTGTGTGTACCGCAGTTCATGGCACTGCAATACCAGTCTCCAGCTAGGACTTCTGTTTTGTTTAGTCCATACATGTAAACATCGGTTGTTGTTGCATATTTAGGACAGCTACATCGTTGGCAGGCATCCCGTTTCTTGAAATTTAAGTGTTGGCATGCAGCACACATCCAATCTCCTTCCATGCTCATTTTCTGTCCGTAAATCTGGAAATGAACATAAAAAGATTATGAGAGAAAATTTTAATATATGAGAAGCCAAATAGGCCATTGTAAGAGGCATGTAATAGGCCATTATAAAAGGCATGCAAAAGGCCATTGTTAGAGGCATGTTCAACAACCATTAAATCCTATCAGACACACATCTTTGAGGCTTCGTCTTTAAGAATTACATTTTTTCTTACTCATGAACAGACATTTCATTTTTAAAGAAATTTCTTTGCACGTAAATCGTGTATTGAAGGTGTAAGTTTTTGAAAAACTTGCATTAAAGACAGTAACTTTTTTGTGTAGAAGCTGGAACGCGAGGAAATTTAGTTCCATTATTAGATAATGAAAAACATGATGAATTCCTCACCTAAAAAGAGTGAAGGATTTGAAGAACTGAACTCTCGACTAGACGTAAACTTTGTTGGAGCTTGTAATTTTGGTGAATGGTCCGGGCCTCCGGGGAGGTTTATATGGGGGGGAAAACTCATCATTGGGTCCCAAAAAAGTTCCTTTTGATCTGTTTTGAGCTTTAGACAGTTTACTTAAATGGGATCCTCAAGATAGCACAAATGTTCGAAAAAAGATTTGGATGAACCTTCTACCTTCCTAAGAGACACATACAACCTTGTCGTATCAGGTTCATATGAATACAGTACTTACGATGCATAGTTTAAATTTATGGTTAAAATTCCATCAAAACTATATAAAATAATATATATGAACCAATAATTTTAGAAACACAATGAGTTCAATGCTAAGAACTTCAACTCATAGAGTTTAAATCCTGGATTCGCCTATGACTTTCATAACTTCTCGAGTCTAGAGTTACGGTTTCCTAAATTTGTCAACAGTTAACTTCATGCATTTGAAGCACTGTTTTATTGAGTATAGAGGTATGGTTCAAATGATGCTAACATCTCTCTTTTCCTAAATATTCTTCAATAATTTGAACTTTCTTTCTGGATTGGAAAAAAAGTAGAGAAAATTTAGGGAATAGAATCCTAAGAGACTAAAACAGTGATTTTTTTTTTAAAAAAAAATTGACTTTTTATCAACAGAGATGTTTAACAGAAAGGGCCACTAATTTGAAAGATAAAAGACATGATTAATTAAGAATTAGTTCTGGTTGTCTGGACCCTAGGAGATATGCCATGGAATTGAAACTACATAATTAATTTTACATGGAATCTGACCTTTCCAAAATAATGATAAATCTAATAGTAGAATACATTGAACGCGCATTTATGATTGCATTGCGTTTTTGGAATTGTTGCTTTGATTGAGTATGATATTGTAAAGATATGGCTCCTGACCCTAACTCAACCCCAAAAGCTAGCTCAGGAGGGGAGACCATCGGTCCATTTGCCAACTAATGTGGGACTTTTACCCACTCTGACACCCCCTTCACACCCAGGCCCGACTTGAGCATGGACAGGGAGTCCAAAGGGGATGGACCTGGCTCTTATACCATGTTTAGATCATGAGATGGATTTCGCTGGACCTTAAAGAAGTGGATTTGTTCGATCATGTTGGTTGTTGCAAAGACTTCATGTTGTGAAATAATGTTTGAGTTTTTTATCGAATACCTCATTTGATTCGGTTTTCATTATAATCCAATGTGTTGTATCTGACTTTGCAGAGGACAAGCCACAAAAACATATAGGATAAATGAGTGCTTTGGTGCTAAAGCTGAAGGCCTAACAAAGACTTGCTTGAGAAGAAGAGTCCCCTTTGACAATACTGAACAATGATTTTGATAAAGATCCATCTATCTTGTTATAGCTCAAGGTTTAGTTTTCTCCTAAGTTGCGCAAGACTCTTCATTTTGATGCCACACCCGTGTCAGATTCTTCAAAAATATACTATTTTGGGAAATCCGACACATACCTAATGACATTTTTTGAAGAGTCTTGAGCAACATTGGTTTTCTCTATCCAATTAATCGAGCAGCTAGCTTCTTGCTTTCGCAGTTTTGATATGCCTACGTGAGTTATTAGGCTCTATATATAGTATCAAGGATGATGATTGTTATGTTTTCTTTTTGCCTTAGAAATGGCAGGATGTAAGTATTATCAAATTAGATTGTAAGCAGAATGTAAGGTTCATTTTTCTAACATTATTAAAGCAGGATGCATTATTTTTGTCATCCCAAAGTGATTTATGATCTCTGAAACAAAATATTTGCATGGTGAAGGATATCATTTGTTGATTGGAAATATTATGTATCACATATACAAGATATTGAAAAAAATGCTATATATAATGTAAATAGGCTATTCAATGCAAGTATTAGTAGGTGTTTTCACGAATCTGTCACATTGAGACAATTTTACCGTTGGAAAAGAGGAAAGATAATTGCTATGTGTGAACATGGGACTTATAGTAACTTCTTTTTTTGTGGAAGTTGTGTCCTTACACTCAAATGACTTTAAAAGGTAATATTACAAGAATAGAGAAGTTTGATGTATTTTATCGGGATAACACATAAACGTGTTTTTTATGTCCTTTTATTTTTGGTGTAGACAAGTACACATCTAAATTTATATAGAATTGAACAAGTAGATAAACACATCCTACTGGAGTTCAATGTGGGATCCTCTGTGTACTACGTCATGTAGAATGTGTGTCATTTTGTTGCATTTCTTACAAGTTTAAGTGTTTACTTATCAGGTGAGGCCAAAGTAAAAAGTATATTTTATGCCAAGTTGTATGAACATTTTGATCAAAGTAGGGTTGTCCAAAATCAAACCGAAATCGATAATTCGAATTGAAAAAAGTTATTGGTTTATCAATATTGGGTTACTGTTTAATAGTTTTGATTCTTTTGGTTATCAGGTTATCGGTTCCTGACGGTTTGAGATTTTTTCTTAACGAATTAATCGATAATCTGATAGTAAATTAAATAATTATATTTGTACATTTTGTATGTGAAGTCCTACAAGTTTGGTTCCCTACCTTCTTTTTTTTTGGTTGTGTTAAAACACTTGGTTATTCTACAATGTAAAAGTATTTGCTTTTGAGCAAAATGTAACTTGTGAATTCATGTGGTTCATTTGGTATGTCACCTTGTTTCTAAGTGATTTTTAATTATTATTTTTTTGTCAAATCTTAATAGTTAAACCGACAACCGAATTGATAACGATAAAAAACAAATAAACCAATAACCGATTAAGTCAATATCTTAATTATTTTTCAACGATTCGGCATCTCTAAAATTAGATAACCAATAAACCAAATCAATAAACTTCAAAACCAAATTGACCGATATATAATCCTAGATCAAAGTCCATTTAATTTTGATTTTGATTCTTAACAAAGAGCATTAAAAAATAGGTGCCAAAAATGGATTATAGTTTCTATCGAGGAAAAAATTTACTCTCACCTGATATTTGAATTAGCTTTACAAGTATATGACACATCAAATCAATATAAACATTAACCTCAATATCACTAAATCATAATTTTAAGGGAAAAGGGTCTGATTTACCCCTGAACTTTATGATTTGGAGCAAATATACCCTCTGTTTAAAAAATGGTCCATATACGCCCCTGCCGTTATAGAAATGGTTCATATATACCCTTTTACTTAACAGACCAATATTTAATAAATTAAAAATTCATTTCTTTATGCTTTAATATGAGAAAATGTCACGTGGCTCTTAAAATACCCATCCAATTAATTTTTACCGACCCGACCCAATTGAAAACAAGAAAACCCGACCCACTCCCTTACCCATTTCAATCTATGGTCTCCACTCTCCCGTTCAACAAGAAAAATAATCAAAAACATATCAGTTTTGTTGAGCTATGGCTTATTTATATTCTTGTGAATGACGAATTATACGATGCTCATAAAAGTGGAAAATGATAAAATTGGTGAGGAGATTTATAAATGAGTGAGGTTATGTTTATCACTTCAAAAAGAGGAAAAAGAAGGTTGGGGAGCTGTATTTTGTCTTGATGCAGAGATGAATCAGTTTTGATTTTTTTTTCTTGTTGAACGGGAGAGTGGAGACCATAGATTGAAATGGGTTAGGGAGTGGGTCAGGTTTTTTTGTTTTCAATTGGGTCGGGTCGGTAAAAATTAATTGGATGGGTATTTTAAGAGCCACGTGGCATTTTCTCATATTAAAGCATAAAGAAATGAATTTTTAATTTATTAAATATTGGTCTGTTAAGTAAAAGGGTATATATGAACCATTTCTATAACGGCAGGGGCATATATGGACCATTTTTAAAACGGAGGGTATATCAGCTCCAAATCATAAAGTTCAGGGGTAAATCAGACTCTTTTCCCTAATTTTAATATGGTTCAGAATAAATATAGAAGTGAGTTTTTTCCCATGACAATATAGCTCCTACAATTATTTACTAATATTCAAGCTCCTATTTTTATAGCTTTAACCATGTTTATTTTATAGGAGACTAATCAAAATCATTGTCATATCCTTAGGAGACTTTCTAGGTTACCAAATCATAACTATATAGTTAAGGACACACACTTACATTCTATAAAAAATGACTATAGAGAAGCCACAGTTTTTTGCACTCAAAATCACAACTCCATGGAGAGCTATCCATTTGAATTAGTCTAGAACTACATATCAAACCATTTGTGGAAACCTATTGAATGACAAGAACAACAAGCACAACTTAAAAAGGTTTAAAGAGTGAGATTTGGAGGAACAGAATGCTGCAGTAGGTTTCTTAGCACTAGGTCAAGATTGAAAGTACAGCACGACGAAGACACGTCTTGCAATATATAAATGCATTCAAATAAATACAGTACTTATTGACCTTCTTTGGTATATATTTGTTCATGATTTACCCTGTTGAATTTGATGGAGTAGTGCTGCTGCCAACTGCAATGTTGCCTGCAAGCGTTTCTGTGGGTCTGTTTCTTCATCAGCTGCATTTTGCAGTTGGCCCACGTTCGTGCCATGCTGAAGCTCTCTTGGAGGTGGGCCTGGCAAACTCGCCATTGCTTGCTGTTGTTGCTGTACTTGACCAAACTGAGATGATGAATGATCAACAGGCTGATTGTTTGGGAATGAAAGATTCTGCTGTGGCCTGTATGAGTTGTCAGGCAGGTAAGCAGTGCCTGTTTGTCTAGAATCTTGTCCTGTTGATGCAACCCCCGATTGTCTCTGCTGCCCAAGAAGTGATGAGGTTAACAATGCAAGTTGTTCTGATTGAAAAGGTGCAGGTGGTGTCTTTGCCTCCGGGGGAGGTCTATTATTACCATTTGAATGGAAATTTGGAACTTCACCCCTATAGATGCTAGAACTTTCCTGCCCTGTACCAGGCATGGCCGGGTTATATCCCTGACCGATGGTAGGATCATTTCTGCCACTGGATGATTGTGAGATGATATTCTTGACACTAGGATTTTGGTTTTGCATATCATGGGAAGACCAGTTCTGTCCCATGGCAGGGTACTGCTGATTGACCATGTAATTATGCCTGTCTCCACTAAATGACTCAGAAAAGTTACCAGCTGGATGAAGAGAGCCTGAAAATGAAGCAGCTGGAGGTCCTGTATCTATCCCAGGGAACGATGTATTGCTGATTCCTGGTCTCTGAGTGGCTGCGTAAGATGTCAGTGCAGCATTAGGCCCAGAAGGCGATATCGGCTGGGCAAATGATGTCATGCCCTGGAAACCGGTGATACCAGTTTCATTCTTCTCAGAATGAGACCCAAAACCGGGAGCAGGAGGATCTAATCTTAAAACAACACCAGAGATGCTCAGTTTTCCTGGTACTTTAAGGACTTTCTCAGAGAAGTCAGAAGGAGGTACAAGAAACATAGTGGTCCTATCATCCAATTTAGCCACAGCAGCTCGCTGCTTCTCACCAAGATAATTCATGAATTCGCTGTAAAATGCTATGTCAGCATCAGTAGCTGGAACAAAGAAGACAACCCAAGAACCAGCTGCTTGATAGTAATGCTTTGCAAGCATGTCTAAACTAGTCCTTGCAGTGCAGTCCAAGTATACAGGTCTGCGGAATTGAACCATTGCAAATTTAAAGAAGGAAAAGAATTCGAGTTCTATTCGCAACATGTGGGATGAAAAGTTCTCAACCCAAGACAATAGCTCAGTTTTCACTTAAAGACTGTAAAACTTAAATCCCAAAAACCCTGTGAACAAATGTATGAGAAGACAAGACATTCATAATGCCTAAGATGAAGAGAGTTAAAACAAGTCTTGCAACGTAAGTATCGTTCGAGATCCTTCCCATGTACTTGATATCATGAAAAAAAATTCCCACTCCACACAACAGAAATGATGATTGTCCTCGAACGGGCAAGAAGGAGCAAAATTCAATCTCTGGATCTCCTTAAATTGAGTAAAGCTGAATATCAAATATCAGTTAAATACTATTCATTTTCCATCTCAGGATCCTAAGATAAGAAATGTACTAATCAAGAACATTCACTTCTACGTAACAGGGATGTAAACACTAATGTCTCCAACGAATACACTTTATCAGAGTTTTTTTACAATTCAATTTCAATCAGATAGAGGCATAATGATTTTATTTAACTTGAGCAAAGCCTAAATATTTGTTATTAAAGCATCAATCAGCTAAACTTTCACTGGTTAACAATACAAGTCTTGTATAAAGCTGCTCTAAAGTGATAGAGACCTGAATGTTGAGCTTACTAATCCAAATGTATAACAACATACCCAGTGTAATCCAAACATGTTAAAGTTAATTCAAAAGCACCTAGAGAAAGTGTTTAAGTTAACTCAAAAGCACCTACAGAAAACTACAACTATTAGTACAATATGAGCTCCATGAACTAGTATGATTTCATCAGTTATAGCAGAGTATATTGGATTGAGATATTTCTGTGATAGGAAGGGCTTCAACTCAAATGTCCAAAGCTGCAGTTCAAAAAAGCTTTCATTTCTAACTGAAGTAGCCTTCCAGTTTTTAGTTTCAACTTCTTGTGCACATTAGATCATAAATTAACGTCTATAGAACAATTAACTTTGCATAAAACATGTAATTACTTACAAGATCATCTCTAAAGGTTTGCCCACGGGAAAGCATCGAGCCCGACAGACGGCAGTTCCTCCCTTAGCAATAGTACCTTCCCATTTCCACTCACTACTCTTGGATGAGGCATGTGGTTCAGGAGTCAACCTTTTCTGCTCAGCTTTTGAAGCCAATTGACCAGAGCCCACCTTAAACCCGTCAAATCGTGAATTCCAC